CCCCAAAACCCCAAAACCCCAAAACCCCAAAACCCCATTTTAATAAAATTTTATTGCATTTATTTATCATTTACAATGAACAAAGGCATCAACGATCTTCTTCAACTTTTGGAGAAGGAAACTGCTAAGGCTAGTAGGAAGAAGAAACAGTACCCAGAGAAGAAGCTCACTAAAGATGACAAGTATAGTTTCAAACCAAAGATTAATAAGAAATCACAACGTATTTCTGATAGGTTGGACCATCACAATCCTCACAGTGATCGTATCAATAAGCGTAGGTTTTTCCTTGTCTTTGAGAATTTCTTCAGATGCAATTTTATCTTTGATCTTTATATCTAAAGTCTAAAATAATATAAAGCTTTCTGACTACAATTTTAGCAACTTATCTGATTAACCGAAGACATAAATAATGATGAAGAACTTAAAGAGGAATATCCAGAGATTGAATATAAAAGAGAGTTAAAGGAGTGCACTTTTACTCCAGGACTCAACAAGGAAACATACAGGATAGTCTCAAACCAAGATGATAGGGATACTTTCAATACTCTATACAGTCAAGCTCAGATTATCTCCAAGCAGAAAGAAGATTTACTAAAGGAGACTGAAGAGCAGAGAATCCAGGATGAAATTGGTCAATGTACATTCAAACCAAATATATCTCCTCTGGAAGGGCTTGACTTGGACATTCAGGTACAAGAGAATGAATATAAAATTGAAGAGAGAGCTTTAAAATATGTACAAGAGAGGAACAAAAGAATAGGTAATTTCTAGAAGCATCCTTGTGCTTTCCAACTAACTTATAATCATAGAAGAAAATGAGAAAGAAAAAGCTAATGAGCTGGATGAAGAATGCACCTTCCAGCCCAAGACATATCAGAGGAAGCCATATGATCTAGACATTGAAAAGCATATAAATGTCCAGTCCATTGATAAGCACCTCGAAAGAATGATGATAGCTAAGGAGAAAAAGAGCAATATTGAAAAGCAATGGAGCGATAAGGCCGGATCGGGCAAACATTGGAAAGGTGAAATGACTATTCCTAAAGCTCCACAGCTTGTCAACAGAATGAAGTATGGCAAGGGAACTAAAGCTCTTGACAAGCCTGTTAGCATTCATGAAACCGTTGGAAATATTGAAGCATCTACATCCTCTCTAAAGAGACACAATAATTATCCCCAGACTGTTATTGCTCAGGAAATAGAGTCTAAGAGCTCTCAAGCCAAACTATTAATGAAGAAGAAAAATGAGAAAGAAAATGAACTCCTGAAGATAGGAGATAAGCTTGACTATGAAAGCGCTCAATGGAAGATCCATAACTACATTCTTGCACTTGATGTGTAGATTTGTCCCATAAACTACATACCAACGACATCCTTCAATATGGCAAGAGCTGTTAGGGGTTTTGGGGTTTTGGGGTTTTGGGG